AGGCGAAAGTGTTGCATCAATTAAAGATTCATATGAGATACGGCTATTTAGGTTTAAGTCTCCCGTTATTACATTGTATTATGTAGATAGAATTATATATGAATATATATTATCATACCATTGGTGAATATGTCAATGGGTGGCCGGGAACACTACGTGGTATACGTTACACCGGGCGCTACTTTAATCACTCGTGGGGGAGACGATACCGGTAAGTATACATCGTACAGTGGGACACGAGTTATCGTAACTCTGATCATTAATGCTGTAATCTGGGTTGCTATAATTCGCCTAGGAGACATGTGCGTACGGTAAACTTCGATACCCCGAATGACACCGTTACATGCGTCCTTCTTAATTAAAGTACAATACAAAGTCGTGGCGGGTATTGTTTGGGTCTCAATTATGTAGACGCGTTATTTGGACTTTTTCATCTCGGTTGGTCCATTGTTCCGGATTACATGTCAAAATGAAGTTCTTTATAATAAAGTTTTAACACTAGGCTTTTATAGTTAAAACTAAAGAGTAGTCGTTGTAACACAACGAAACTCTTGTTTACTAACTACTAATTACCCGTAGGAAAAGCGTAAAAAAGAGTAAGGTAAATGCAGATCCGACCCTACGATCGTCGAACGGGCAACCGAATTTTACAAAATTGAAGTTGCGTTGTACTTTTCATTCTTAGTAGAACAGCGCTTAACGTAATTTAGCGGTAATCGTACTACCCCATTATCTACGTTTAAGATTCCCGGTATCATAAATTTTTACACCTTAACACCTAGAACGGATGTCTAAGGTCTCGTCCTACGACTACGCATCACGTTTTGAACTTCTCAGTGTCCCCCTATTAAGGAATCTTACGAGGCGAAGACACTAGTCACGGTCGTCTCGTCGGGTCCTCTCCTCAACCTGCTACATGATGGTCTGGGGACAGTCGTTGACTCCTGACTTTGCCCGAAACACTCTCCGATGTCTATTCCGGGAGTTCTCTGTTACCATACAAGGTAACACTTTCTTTTTGAATAAACTAATTCTTAGCGAATTTAAATACTTCTTCATTGAGGTAGAAGGTTTCTCTGTCATCCGTCTGTGGTTCTGTCTGTCCCGTCCGTCCGTCCGTGTGATGTCTGTCCATTGTTCTGTCTTCCGTCTGTCTGTCCGGTCCGTGTGTCTTTCGATTTGTCCAGTCCGTCTGCCTGTCAGTGGCCGTTGGTCCCGTGGATTCGTCCGTCGTCCGTCCGTCCGTATCTATTTACTATCTACTATCTCTATCTATCTTTATCTATCTATTGCTATCCTTTTGCTATCTATCTATCTATGTATCCTGTATTAACCTGGTGAGCTTATACAAAGTTGACATCATCAATATAGTTACGACGGAAACAATATATATAGCTGTTCAATCGTAGTGCTACATGAGTTCCCAAAATAATTCTTTTGTTTAATGATTGTAACGTGTGTACTATATTACTGAAGAACCACCGTGTTGTAGCCTCTGTGGTAGGCCTCCTACGAGAGGGTTCACCTTGGTTATGGATACCGTTGCATATCGGCAGTTCCCTTTTTCCCGTTCTTGGCACTACTGCGATCAGCCAGTGGTTCCAGGAGTAGTCATTCACAATCAGTATTTTCCGTGCCGTTAAGAGAAGTCATAAAATGACTTCCCGAGTCGGACTACGTGAGGTCTTCTATGAGTTATATATGTACACTAATAGTAAATAAATATTGGCTTTGCTGCGTAAAACCCCTTACATACAAGTTACCCGTACTCACCCATCCACACTGACCCGACGTAGAGCATCCCTCGAGAAGTTTTTGATACACTTTAAGATGTAAATGAATAAACAATATCATAACAGTAAGGTAGCCCGGGTCTTGGGAGTACTACAAACAACGATCTAAGTAAATATAGAATCCAACACGGTGACCTAACAAGAATTAAAGAGCCCAACCGGGTATGATGGGCGCATGTAAAAAGTCGACAAGTACCTCCATTTAGTAGAGCCATTCGCTATTAAGGGTCCACCACTGATTACCCGCCTCTGACTTAGATGTAGCCGCCGATTACCCCTAGTTAAAAAAAACAAAAAAACCCAGGGTTCACGCTCTATGCCAGGGGTCGACCCATCAGTACTATGACTCGCCTTTCACGTCGTTCTTTGGGGTAAACAGACGCGGTAGAACTTATTAAAGGCCACGGTTTTTCTAAGACCCCTACATAGGACAGAAGCAGCACACTATCGGTAAGATTATGGTTTAATAATTGTATATTTGTGACCGGAATCCTATGAATCAAATCTAAAACACTCCTTATCAACAAATCAGCAATAGAAAGTCGGGGTCATGTATTGGACAATTGGAAGGAAAGAGGCACGTAACGAACCCCAATATGTCAAAGATCTGTAAAGTGCTCCTCCGTAGACTTTTTGGTAGGATTTCGGTCCGAAGGCCCACCTCCTCGTTGACAGGCTTTTGGGTTTATACGTGGCTTCTTTTTCCTCCCCGGTTTTATTTCCACTATCACCGTAGATCACTCGAATGATTTATAAACAGGTAGAGGCGTTTACATCAGTTATTTCAGTAATCGTATAGTGATTTATGGTGAAACTGTATATCCATACAAGAGTCATGAATTTAGAAACGTAGAGTGTTCAATCAATAGTAAATAGTGATGTGTATGTTAATCCTTGTTATTCCTAAAGTGGAAGTTAATGGTACATAGACGGGATGTAACCCGCGAACGAAAAAATCCTTGGACGACGTTTTCTTCCTTTCTCCGTAGCTAGACGTCAGCTTGTCTATGGTCTAACGTCTAATTTTTAAGTGTATAATCAGGGGGACCGTAACACGGTTGCCTGCAGCCCCGTGCCTGCAAAACGGTCCATATAAACAGCCCGCGCTGCAAAGCCGGTCGAACATGTTTTTATTATTATTGACTTTTTATTTATACAATCAAGTAAATTTTAGTGGGATGCATCATCTATGTACAATGACGGTTAAGTATTATTTAATGCTTACTTGACTTATTATTGTATATCCGCGGTGGTGATTACAAGTAAATCAGATTGTTCCAAATAATTGCAAGTTTCTTCAGTGCGCATGTCACAAAACGAGATGCATTGTGGGACATGTTTATGGGCAACCTGCTTCTGTAAAGTGGCATGTAACCGTATAATAAACGTATATTATTCTTTGCAAGCTCTTGCGGGGCCACATCAAATGAAGTCGCGGGCCGGATTTGGCCCCCGGGCCTTCAGTTTGACACCCTTGGACTAAGCAATGTTTTCGATGTATAGAATTAGTGTGACCCACCCACCTAAGAAGATGCAACATTTTGGAATGAAGATTTTCTTTAAATATTAAATATTATGATCTGAAATGCAGTTTAAATTATAGTTTGGTTGAAAGGTTTAGAGCAATTGTTTGTAACAAGGACGCTTTAACGTCAGTTCATCAGGTGCTGCTAATAGGTTTGAATGCATTGCAGTTCAGAGCAGAGTACTAACCAGAGGTGTAGGAGTTGCTCCAGCCTTGGGCCAGGCCCAGGGAGTTGCCTCCCCAGGTGGAGGAGGGCTTGTTGTGGCTGAGACCCGGTGGAGGCCGGGAGGGGGCCGGGTTGCTGCGGGGCCCCTGAGGAACCTTCCACAGCTCGTGGGACAGAGAGGCCTGGCTCTGAGAGATGGGCCCTTGGGACCAGGTGGACTTCATGTCAGACATTTTCCCTTTAAATGGAGAGAGGGTAGAGGGTGAGGAGAGCAGTAACAGAGAGTAACACAGATGTTATATTCCCTGGTCAATTAACTGGCTCTGCTAATGGCAACACTAGCTTAAGTGGTTCTTAATGTTAAATAATGTTTTCCTTTTCATTTTAAAAACTAACAATATGCAGTGCATCTACCTGAAATGTTTCTGCTGTAAAAGTGTAATAACTCATAATTCAAACAAATGTTAAAGTTCTGAAAATAGAAACTATGTTTAAAAAAGAAACGTCAGGTTTATTTTTCAGTTTCTAGTGTTGCTTCCTGGATTTAAAAAAGAAACGTCAGGTTTATTTTTCAGTTTCTAGTGTTGCTTTCTGGATTTATGCTGAATCTCTTTCCTTTAACCTCTGTGTAAATGCAAAAAACGAATCTTAAAGCACACAAATAAACACAGGGTGTCTCTGGATGTCATGACCGACAAGGCCCAAGGGTGAGGCTTTCTTGTGGGTTGGGGAGGAACAGATGGTTGAAGGTCACGTTTAGGGGAGGGTTCTCTCTTAGTATTGTTAAAGATTCTAAAAGCACTGAACGCACAGGTTTACAGAGTGAATTGGGGTGAAAGAAGGGTCATAAACAGAGGTCAGGAGTTGGGTAAGGTATAGGATAAGTAGGGAGCCTCGGACTAAGTGCAGAATCGGGGCTTCAATTTGGACGGGGAGAGGTTTGGCAGGTCCACACATGGAGGGAAGATACGCTGGATGTGTACCTGAGCTGTCTCCATCAGAGGAAGACAGACTGAAAGAGCTATTGTAGCCACTGAATGGCCAGTCGCTGCTGGGGGGGGGCAGAGAGCCATTCTCCAGTGACGAAGCAGGGGAAGTGGCTAAATGGTGGTAGACGTGACCGTGTTGTAACCAGAGACAGAGAGGGGGAAAAAAAAGAAGAACTTCATGTATGCATCAGCACAAGCACATGAATTTAGCGCCTGTGGTGTAGCCGAGAGAGCACAAGTCAGCATGTGTAAGTCAAGTTATTATTAATGTTGTCACTTAAGACAGCATGTTTTGGGTTAAGGACTTGTGGTTATCTTAAAGTAATACTTGTGGCTTTTGTTTCTGTTCATACCTCCATTCCTGTCCCGCAGTAGGTATCGATTGACGTCGTGGATGTTGGTGTTGATGGTGGGACCGCTGGGGACGCTGCCAGGGGTCATGTTGGGGTCATTCTCAGGGTCGATGTTCTGAAGACCCTTCCATGGCACACCGGGGCAGAACTCTGATTGGGGGAAAAAAAAGGTGCTTAAAAGACGGTTAACAGGTTCAGCTGTCCCGTGCCTAGGGGTGCAATACAACAGGAGAGGCTTGAGAATAGATGTAATTAGAAAACATATGGATTTATGGGGATAACATCTTTATTTGCATATTTTCCTCACCTGGGGGCCAGTTAATGTTGGTCCCATTGGAGATCTTTTCATTCTGGCTCTTGCCAGGGCCCCAGCTATCTTGGGGGCTGGTGGGGGACTCAGAGCTGGACATTAGATTGTAGGGGCTGTATGAGTCCTCCATATGGGGGGGCTTCCCAGGGGGGCCGAGGGAAGAGGCAGCAGATATGGCACCTAGTATATGCAAAGACAAATAAAACAGATTCAACTTAAATTAGTTTTACTTTGAAATGAGGACAAACTATAGGAACATACTCTTTTGAACTCATTCTTGTTCACCATAACATCAGCTGTAGAGTCCACCATCCATAATGCAAATTCACAAGAACGCTTTTTAAGAATAACATGCAGTGTTTTTATTTAAATGATGCTCTGAGTGTTTTTTAAAAGGACATCAATTCATCTTTCCATAGGACATGGAAATCAAACATTGATGACACTTACAGATAAGTGTATGAAACTGATATCATGTTTTCTCAGTATCGGTTCTGAAGACGTGTGGGAAGAACATGCCCAGAGCAAAGGCTGATTACTTCTCAAGTGTTGAAATGGGAGGCGTAGGAGTCAACAAACATCAGTTATAGCTAGTTTTCATCTCAAAACAATGTGTAAGCCAAATGTGTTGCGGCAGAGTAAACATTAGGATGCTTCAACTTCAAATATTGCCTTGAATAATGTGTTGTCAGGGCTCCGATTTAGGAGAGGAGAGGTTTAGCAGATCAGGTACCTAAGCGACAAACTGAAAGAACTTGAGCCACATCATGACTGTGCACTAAGAATGTGTGAAAACAACTCATGTCTTTCACTGAAACGTGTGAGAGCGGTAGGCTGAAGAACTAGATTGTGATGAATCATGTGATACAGCAGTTGAGAAAGATACCATTATCAAGTTACCTAAAGGTTTTCTGTGATCAAAATAAGACTTAACTATAAGACTTGCATCCTTTTTCAAAATATTCAAAAATCTCAAAAGGTCCTAAATAAAATTGCATGTACTTGAAGAAATTATATTTTCTTCATAATTAAAATCCTTGTTTATGAATAGCTACTATTATAAAATATATAAGCTGCCTAGCTGAAATTAATAATAATGCAAATGTACAGGAGGCATGTATTTATGGATGACATGCACATTTATGTAAATAATAACTTCTTAGGACATAGTTAAAGGGTGGTGTTACCGTGCTTATTGAGGTTCTCCATGTTTGAGGAGTTGCCAGAGAGGCTGTCCATGGAGTTGGAGTGTGTCCACTGGGACAGGCGGGATTGAGGCTGAGGGGGCTCCTTCAGGGAAAGACCCCCAACCTCCATACAGTTTACATTCATGTTTGGATTCAGTCCAGCTGCACATAAACAAAACACATTGTTTAAAGGGCAGCAGAGGGAAACTGCTAAACTCCACAACTAACAGCATCAGTATAACATCAGATTCTAATTGTTTGAGCAGAAGAATCCGCCTTGACTCACAGAGAGGGTAGGAGCTGTAGGCGTTGGGCGAAGACAGCGCCTCTTTGGTGTGCATTGAGTCGGAGAGGCCCGGGGACTGGTGTTGGCCTGTGTAGGGGTCGTGGGTTGATTTGCCGGAACCATGGCCTCCGGCGTGGCCACCGGGGGGATGCAGACCAGCGGAGGAAGAGGAGGAGGAGGAGGAATGAGAAGGAACTTGCTGCTGCTTCATCAGCAGCGCTTGGTACAGCTGACGCTGGTGCTGCTGGATCTGCTGCTGCATGTTGGTGATTGTACGTGCCACCTGGGAGAGGAAAGACAATGTTAAAACAAGCAATTTGGGAGGTAAACAAAGAGATGATTTGAATAATTTAGTGGCAAAAGCAAGATGGAAGAAACAATTATGAAAATGTATAAAAGAGAAAGTGGGAGGAGGAAGGAACCAGAAATATTAGAAACAAAGAGGATGATTAGGTTTTGGACAAAGCAAAAAGGTAGCCAGTAAAGCAAGTGGAAAACAACCGTGTGATAAGCAACCCTTTCAACATGCCGTTCATCTGACTGACAAAATAAAAACATCCTTAGAAAAGGAGAACAAACTCTTTTCACAAGATGAGAAAGAGTGGTTAGCTCATGATCAACAAGAAGTAACCGGTTCCCATGCTTTAAAAAAAAGGTTTGAGCAACTCCTGCTAACGTTGCATAATACTCCTCCTTCCTCTCTGTTCTCATGTGAGCATCGACATATTTGAGAAAAAGATGAAGTTGCACTCATATGAGGTCTCACACAAGAAACGGATGATCTTCATCATCATACTTTCGTGGGTGTAATACAGACTTGTTGACTCACTTGCTGCTCTTGTTGTCTAATGGGGCCGGAAACATTGCGTTGCGCCTGCATCATCTGCTGCTGGATTTGTAAACGCTGGTACGCCTGAAAGAAAAAGGAACCATAAGAGATTGTATCTACAGTATCTGATACAGCTTATTAATAACCCTTCTATCCTTTGTCATGCATCTATAAATGAACACATCCTTAAGTCTTCACTGGGTGTTTGTCACCAGTAATTAAATCATGAACTGTGTGCCTGGTTTCCTTTCCCTTTAGATTTAAGTGTTCATTTCGTCAACGAAAACTATGACGAAAAATATTCGTCAACGACCTTTTTTACATGACTAAGACGAGCTAAAAAAAGATTCTTGATAACGAAAACTATGACGAAATGTATATTTAGTTTTCGTTGACGAGACGGGACTAAGGTGTTAATGGTGGACTATCGGACATTCAAAATGCAGCATATTTTCCCCCAAGTGTCCATCTTGTCTATCAAAATGCATCTTACGTTGCTAACTTGCAATATCACGTTTTGAGTTTTCGTCGACTAAAACTAGACTAAAACTACGAAGGATAGGAATGACTAAAGCTAATAACCATTTTCGTCTAAAGACTAAATCAAAAACAGCTGCCAAAATTAACACTAGTCCAAAACACACATGCTCTGCCTCAGACCTCTAAACACACTGCATTGCTAACAGGGATAGCTCTGACTCACCATTTGCAGTTGCTGAAGTTGGTACAAGAGAGTCATTTGTTGAGGGTTTATTGGTGAGGTTAAAAGTGCAGGGTTCAGACCAATGTTTTTTGCTGCAAACTGCAAGAGCTGTGCTTGGACCTGGAGGCAGGTATGGAAGAATGGTGATACGGAAGAGAGAGATGACAGGTTAGTCATTGCAATTCACAACCAGTGTACAAAAGTAGCTTCGGGCAAGGTAAAACTAGTCGCTGATACATGCACGCAAGGAGGAAAAGAGGAGAGAGGGTCTGCAAGAGGAGTCTTGTCAAGCCAAAAGGTGTAGGAGTAGTATGCTTCCCAGAGAAATAAATGTAGGTGGTGATGTTTTTTGACAGTCTTCACAACATATGAGTAGGATACTGAAATGATACCAACAGTGTTCTTGTCAAGTATGTCACTCAGTGAACGAGTCACGATGTGTGTGTTTACTCGTTTTGGGAAAGCCAGCACTATCTGCCAGCCAACTTTGACGTGATCTTGTGTGTAATTGACCTATATAGCTCTGCACATTAAACATGTACGTGATTATGTGTGTGTTTCTACCTGAGGGGAGAGAAACTGAGGCACTTGAGCACGTAGACTAGGCTGGGAGGAGCTGAGAGGTGGCACTGGTGGCTGAGGAGGCTGCTGCTGCTGCATGGCCCGGGTTTGTGCTGCTCCACTACTGCCAAACATTCCACTGGGTATCTAAACGCAGGAGTCATAAAGGTAAAGAGGAAACTTCTTTAAATCCTCCATGTTTAAAGAATCGACTAAAGCGCTGAGCCACTGAATCCTGAATGAAGGAGTGTATTCTTGACCACTCAGAATACCTTAAGAGTAAGGTCAAGAGTTGACCACCCAACGGTCAAGTCTTTATCCATTTGATGGGTTCATTCAGTACATGAAGGATACTTGAATTGAATGAGGAAGTGCACTCAAAAGCAAACCTTGGGTCGATTACATTTCTATCCCACATAGCTATATCTAATAACATTTCAAAGCATTTTCTTTCAAGGTCTATCTTCACACTACACCCGATCCACATTCTGAGCAGCTAGTTGTTAGTTCATGAAATTACTAACTATCTCCATTTTACACACCATCAAGTGGCCCAATACAATCAGCCCTTAAAAGGAAGCTTAATCCATAATTTCTGATTCAATGTTGTTCGAGAGGTCTTTTCTTTCAGTGCAAAAAGGCCCGCTCACAGTGCCTTTGTTTGGGCTTCAAGGACACACTGCAATTTCTTTCTGGGCCATGAATGCCTCTGGGGTGATATTTGATAGAACATAACTATCTGATTACAATGGGCACTTCAGGCAAGGTCATTCATATATAAGTGAGCAGGAGAAAAGTGGAGACTCAGGAGAGCATGTGGGTTGAGAGGGTTGTGTGAAATGAATTCAATGTATCATTTAATCATAAACGCTTAAAACCTGCACAAGTCATTCAATGTTTAAATGCTGGCCATACATCTGCAGTGTGATAAACAAAGATGGTTGATTGAAATATTTTGCAATGAATGAGGTTTGTTAGCACAGTCTGTCAGCAAATATGTTCAACACACGTAATTCCTAAAAACTTACATTTCTTTCTCCTAAACTGGGAATATTTGCTATCTGTTTTTTATTTTATTTTTTCATTAAGAACTGTTTCTTCTACACATTAAACAAGAGGGAAATGAACCAACTTAACAACATGTTGCTGCTGTTTGTATTCATGCCCATGCTCTACAATATCGTTTTACTGCAGCTCTATTTTATGGACTGTGTAACACTTTAAATGTTTCTGTTCTCTTTCCCAATTTAAGTTAGGTGATAGTGTGTGTTATAACTGTGTGTGCTCAATATGTTACCTGTCTGTTGTTCAAGTTTTGCATGGCCAGCCCCGGGTTGCCCAGTCCCAGACCCTGCCCAGGAAGGCTACTGTTGGCCAGGGGGAGCTTCATGCTGGGGGAAGGCAGAAACGGTGATTGGGGGGCTTCATCTGACAGAATACCATCCTGGAACAGAGAAAATAAAAGGTTTAAGGGGATTAATAAGACTTAACACATTTTTTTATTAAGCAATAAACACAGAAATATGAACTTGATTCGATGATCAAATGATGAAATAATTTCAACAGATGTTGGGAAAAGGCCTGATGGCTGGTCAGTTGCTTAATGTCTAACCTTGTCAAGATAAGAGTTGCGGTCAGAGGGGTCTTTGGAGAGTGCTGAGGGCCGACACACCATGGGCTTGTTCATGCCGTTGCTGTAATCAGACATTCCCATGCCCCGCTTGTCCAGGTCTGTCTTCTTCTCCAACAGGGCGCCTGGGAACAGGAAAGAGGTAGATTGATTATATTATAAATCTAGACGCAGAGACACAAAATCCAATGAGAATATTTCAATGTATTGATGTGATGGAATTCCGGCATTTGACTCTTAAGTTGTAGTATTGCAATACACACACAAGGACACAAGTATGTGGAAACTTACTCATGGCCTGGTCAAGGTTCATGTTGTTGCTCTTCAAAGCCTCCTCAGCAGGGTCTCTCTGTAAAACACCAATAACAGTCCTGTCACTGACAATAGTGAATTTTTAGGAAAGGTTCAGAGTTTTCCCTTTTTTACTGTTACTTTTTTATTATTGGTGGCTGTATTTATCATTGGATGGTTTAGACCCCCATCAGTTTCACGACTTACCGGAAAGCCCATGTCAGTGAGCTGTTTGATGAGACGGTTCATGATCCAAGCCTCATCTGGCTTGCCTATCTTCGCCTAAAAACACACAAGCAAAGTATTAAGTTATAGAAAAGTTAATGTACATGAAATTAATTACCACCAATAAAAAGTGTATTTATGACAAGAGTCCGCTGTGTTCTCTCACCTTGCTTGGGCCTTTCTTGGGTCCATTGCCCCAGGAGTTGCAAGAAGAGCTGCTTTCCTGGGAGGTGGGGCTGTTCCACATGTCCCCCTCCTCAGTGTCCCATTGCCCGGACGACATGCCCATCTCCTCTCCTCCATTTCCCCAGCTCTCTTGCATAGGTTTTGGGCCTAAGGAAGTGATTAAATAACATGACCATAAGCGTTTAGTAAGTATCTATGTTGGATCATATGCACTTTAATAATACACAAGCCATTCCAGAGTGTGAGACACAATTCATTTTAAACTTGACCACTTGGTGCCACTGTTGCCTTATGGTACCCTGCCTTTTCCCCTACACCTCTCTCTACGATTCCCAACAAACTAACAGCACAAATAAATAACCAAGATCTGCTGAGGCGTGGAATTGCTTTCATCCCAGCAACACTTCAGTAGCACTAACAAACGCTGGCAGAATTGGCACACACGGTAAATGTCTGAGGAAACTTCCTATTTTTGTTCCCTTTGCTGAAGTCTGGAAATGCACACTTACTCTTAGTTAAAAAAGGTTTGGTATATCTTAACCCAAATTTCAAATGCCATTATTGCCAAGGTGATGTTAATAATAATACATTTATTTTTATTTTGCTTTTACAGGTGCTCAAAGTCGCTTTACAAAGGTAGTAAAAAAATAGAAAAGGACAACAATTAAATATAGTAAGAAATCACATTAAAATCAAGCAATAAAACAACAATCAAACATTAAAAGCCAGTTTGAAGAGGTGAGTTTTTGTACGTTTTTTTAAGGTGTTTAGTTTAGTTTAGATGTTTAGTTTTGTGTGGACCTTTTATCGTCAAAAGTACGTCTTGAACCATGTAATTAATATATATATATGGTACTGTTTCACACTTTACAATGGTAATATAGCAACAATATGTGTAAGTTAAATTGAAAACATATGGTGCCATAGCCTTTGAAATTGGTACATGTTGATTTCCTGTGGTACATATTGCATCACTGTTAATATAATTCATCTGTGGGTGTTACCTGGCTTGCAGGGTGCAGAACCTGTGGGTCCGTTTGCCCTGCCGTAGGGTCCAGAGGGCTCGTGGCCACCATCTCCCCATCCTCCTGCTCCCCCTGTAGACTTGCCCCAGGCGGAGGTGCCATTGTCCACAGATGATGTTGGAGCTGCTGGCTCTCCCCAAGCAGGTTCTGACTTGGGCTGAACACTGGGAACCTCTCCCCAACCTGGAAGAAAGAGGTGACATAGATTTAGTTAGAAAATAAGTTCACTGCTGGAACTAACATTTTCATTGACTAGCCATTTTTACTATTAACTTGCAGTTATACATCAGTCCCCCTTAGGACATTGAATTAAAGACACCGTTTAAAACACCCTGAAATCTGTATCACATAATTATATAATGATAATCCAAGTACCTGAAATAATCATCATTGTGGCATTACAATGCTTTTCAGCTTTGATAGTGAAATGCCGTCTACATAACTATCTATACTATAGGCTTCAGTACAGATGGGAAATAAGGTATAGCTGTTGTCAGCATAAGTATGTCTTAAGGTGGCCATGATGCATTTTAGTAGCTGCAGTGTAACTGGTAAACAGCAGGGGGCAATGTTTTCATTCAGAATTAAAAAGATAGAACTTTGGGCATAAAGCTGTGCTATGTCTACATGCATGGCCTTTGTCTTAAAATATGTATTTGAACAGGCTGCAGAGCTAACTTAAGCTTGTTGTGCATAATTACAGTGAGATATATATATTTTAAAAACATTATTTTAATAGAATAAGGATTGCTGCCAACAATGATTTTATTAGTCATTTTATAAATCGATTGTAGAGTAAAAAATAGTTAAAAAATGAATTGTGCTCATAATCAAGTAAAACATGTGAGATCATCAAAAATGTGGATTCAAGAAAACATCAAGCTTTTAGGTTATTTAATGAAAATCTGCTTCGTAGATCAATTCTGCATTTCTAAACATCTCTTATGTTTTTAACACAACAGCACAGACATACTGTTACCTGGGTTGGCGAGGGGGGGTCTACCCTGGGGGCCCACGCCTGGATGTTGAGTGCCATTGGTGGATGACCCATTGTTGTTTCCATGATGTTGCAGGTGAGTTGGGGGCTGGATATGATTGGGCTGGCTATGATTGGGATGGTGGTGCATGTGGTGAGTGTGATGGTGATTGTTGTTGCCGGGGCCAACTGAGTGATTGTTGTTGTTATTGTTGGGGATAATCACTCCTCCATTCTTACTGGGAGGTGGGCCGCTGTTACCTGGGTTATTATTGGGTTTGTTTCGATCCCACATGTTGACAGCCTTGCTGTTGGGGGCAGGATTGCCGCCGTTGGGGGCAGGATTGCCGCCGTTTGGGGCAGGATTGCCGCTGTTTGGGGCAGGATTGCCGCTGTTGGGCGCAGGATTGCCCCAGGTGGACGTTCCATCATCTATTTCCATCTTCCTGCGCATGGAGGGAGGGGAGGGCTCTTCCCAGCCACTGCGATCCATGCCCTGCTCCTGTTTGCTGCTATTGCCCCAGCTTGATGGGTTCTGCTTCACAGTACCAGGACCACCCCATGAACCCATACTGCCACCTCCTCCACTGCCAGTGCTACTGCTGCTGCTACTGCTGTTATTTTCCTGGGGCTTGGAAGAGCCCCAGCCTCCCTGCGCTGGGCCATTGGCATGTGGGGTCTCCCCCCAGCTGTTATTACTCACAGTAGGAGCAGGTTTACTCCAGTTTCCTCCTCTATTTCCTCCCCTGGGGCTTTCCTTCCATCCACCATCTCCACCACGTCCACCACCTCCTCCACCTCCACCACCACCACCACCTCCTCCTCCTCCTCCTCCATTCCCTCCTCCATTCCCTCCTTCTCCTTCCCACATGCTGCTGGAGGATCCATTCTTCTTGACCTCTGCCTGTCCCCAATCCCCTGTACTGGAGTTGTTGGGGCCCCCATTACTATTGCTCCATCCATGAGAGCTTTTAGGACCCTCTTCCCAGCCTGGGTTAGTGTTAGGCTGACTTTTTGTCATGCCATTGTCCCAACTGGGTGACTTGTCCTCAGAACCCCAGGATGATTTGCCTCCGTTTCTAGGAACATTGGTAGGCAAAGGTTCGCCCCAGCCACTAGGACCACTAGTGCCATTTGGCGCTTTGCTGTGTGACTGTGGTTGGTCACCCCATCCTGAGCCAGTCTGGGTAGGCTGAGGTGGATTGGCTCTCCAGCCAGAGGATGATAACCCTTCACTGTCACTCTTTTCTCCAGACCCAGACCTCTGACTGGGGCTAATTCTTGGATTGATGGTACCTCCAGTGTTGGATGAGGGTCCACCAGTGGATTTGGAGACTGCCATGGCATCTGAGCAGCCTTTTCTCTTCTCATCATCAGAGTTAGCTTCTTCCATCTCCCATACAGTGTGCTGTCGAATGGGGGTCTGTCCCCAACCCGTGTTACTCAGCACCCTAGGGTCCAGATCCTGCCGGGGTAGAAGAGGGGTACAATCCGTGCTGGAGGTCCTGTCTCTGTGGTCAGTTTGACTTTCGGTGCTGTCCCTACTACCCTCACTTTCTGGGGCTGGTCTAGGCTGCTGGCCCCATGAGCTAAGTGGCGGTTCTTTGACTGAACCAGAATTACCAGCGTCTACTGAGTCCCAGCCTTTAGTTGCTTCTTTGCTTCCACCAGAAGATTTCCCCCAGTCACCCCAGCCACCACTTCCACTACTGCCCCCACCACCACTGCCTTGGCGGCCCCATGCAGAATGCCCTCCAGATGGAGTCGAGTCCCAGCCGGATTCCTTGGGGGAGTCAGCTGCCTTGGTTTCTCCACTACCCCATACAGAGCTGCCTGTTGTGTCCCCATTGAGCTGGGATGATTCAGTGGGGGACTGGCCTCCCCAGCCAGTTAACCCATGAATAGGGCTCATAGGCTCCTGAGCTTGCTGCTGCTGCTGCTGCTGCTGCTGCTGCTGCTGCTGCTGCTGCTGCTGCTGCTGCTTAGTGTGGTTTGGTCCATCAGTGTTAAGGTTAGAAGGTTCCATTTTGTAGGACATGTTTGTGTTGGTTGAAGGGTGCTGTTGATCATGTTCATTGGCACTAATCAGGCCACCCCAACCTCCACCGCCATTCTCTGCACCTCCCAGTCTCCCATCTCCCATGTTTCCATTGCCATTAATACCTGGTGGAAGGGATGGGGAGTTTGACACTGCATTAGGGCCAATACCACAACCTCCACCAGCCTCTTGGCCGAGAACAGGCCAGGCTGATGGGTTGGCATTGGGATTGAGGTTCATGTTAAAATTGGGAACCCCCCAGTTATTGGGCATTCCTACTCTGCCACCATTCATACCATCTTGTTTCCCATCTGCGCCCCAACCTCTACTACCACACGTGTTGGCTGACCCAGGTCCTGTCATCATGTTATTGTTGGCTTTAAGAGAGGGGTAGTGGGCCGGCTGGCCTGCCGCACCTGTGGCCATACTCAGATTTCTACAACTACTGGTGGTTGTGACAGCACTGTTGTCTGTGTTTGAGCTAGCTGAGCCCAAGGTGCATTCTTGTGCTGCGGTATGGCTGGTGTCACTACTGTGGTTGATGGAGGGCCAAGCTTCCGTGTCACTTTTGTCAATATTCACTTTGTCCCTGCTGTTGGCACTGGAGCAGCTGTCAACTGGCAAAGAGGCTCCCCAATGAGAAGTCTCATAATGGGCAATACAGCCACTCTGAAGGGATATGTCTGAAGAGAAAAGAAAGAGAGAAAAGAGAGGTTTAACACAGGAATACATCAAAAGGTAATTGTATATGACCAGTCAGTCAGAGAGAAACAAAAGAAGATTTGAGCCACATAATATGCAGAAATTCAAGAAGAGACTGAGTAACAGGAGTAGACACAAAGAATAGCAAATCAAAATAGGAAAAAAGGTGGTGTGGGGAGGAGGAAAAACATACATTTGGCTAGGCTAAGGGAAATTGTGTAATACAGCCCCCGTAACTCCCAAGGACCAATTTTATCTTCTTGGTTGGTTAATGCTAGCTATCAGGCTTCTTGGCAGGAGATGGTCACACTTGCACGTTCCACAATCTAACACATAATCAGAATGCACAACCAAGCGTGCTACATGTCATATCAGCTATGGCATATCCATATATCCTTGCTTGGTGCAGTCGGCAATACAGAAACAGGGAGATGGAGCCTTTGCTTTCACTTTCTCTTCCATCCTTCATTCCCTTTCCAACTTGTTTCCTCTTTCACGGCAACTGTTTTATCCCTTACTTCCATCGAACTATTTAACTACCCTTATCTATTATTACCCCCCTTCCCTTTTCTTTCTCTGTCCATGTAACCTCACCTTACTTTCTGCCCCCACATCTCTTTCCTCACCCTTTAACTTCTCCCTCTCTCCCCTCTGCTCTCTTCTAACACGCAGCAGTGAGAGGCCCATCCGTCTACATCGTGGCTTCACTTGCTGGGGCTGTGAAGGGAAGCCCAAGTGGAACGCCGCTCATTTATTGGAATGAAACCAGGACGGTTTCTCATCCATCACTCCCTATGCTCCGCCAGGCCTACTCCTCCTCCAACTGCACTAAGAAACCACAAAACACTTCCTTCAAGCTTGTGTGAATTTGTGTGTATCTGCTAGCCAACATTTTGAAATATGCATACCAGCATTTCTCTCACAATTTAGGAACTAAGGATTGAATGTAAATGTTGTCCAACAAATTAAAGGCGGTTTAAGCATGATCAAAATTAAGTATTCTCAACAGTTCCCTTACCAACATGGTATCGCACAAAAGCAATTTCATTTGGCACAAAAGCATCCCATAAGAGGGGGAACTAATTATAGACTGATTCGATGCTGTAAAGGGGTAATCTATCAGTGGGAGGCAGCTAATCAATGATCTTATTAATGCTAGTGGATGAGAGAAGGGAGAGTATCGATCCAGCATGCAAACATTCAAACCACTGGGCCAGCTTCATGTAATGGGCTGAACACCGGTGAGAACAGCTAGGAGCACACAAAAAGAACACCGGATAACAAAGGATATAAAAAGGGATATAATCATCAAATAACTCTTATGAGGAGAAAGGACAATTAATGTGTATCATATACCAATTAATATGTGTGCATGAAAGCTAGATATTTATCCCAGTACGAGTGTTATTAAACATTTCTCAAATGTTGATGTCTTAGTAGTGAAACAGCAGACACATTACTGCATGTAAATACAATGTCTTCTAATGCAAATATAGTTCCTTATGGCAAAATACATGCCTCATATGTCTTTTGATGGTTGTAATGCATTAAACATGAGCACAGTGTGATGCCAGACCACATACAACACATTCAGTCTTTTCCAACGAGCATTGGAAGTCTATTAGACAATAATACATTTCTGGCTACCCTCCTGAGCTGCTGCAGGAACCGTGCCTCAATAACCTTTAATTAGAAGACCCAGGCTGTGTTTGTAAAACATTTCCCTTCTTTGGTTATTAAACTGTTTTACCTTCCATTACTATTCCATTAGTTTTAATCAAATCGTTGCTGTGATTTCCATAATAGCTATATGTTATCCATCATGAGATAAAGACCCAGTGGTCAAAACAATCCAGTCTGGATAGTCTGTTTGTTTGAGGTATGTGGACACACAAACGCGCAGATATGTTGCTTTAAGATACTGTGCAACACACCACTCGGTGGCTGTGAATGCAATTTCCATCTGAACACACTTATCTTCACTCCCCAGGCAGCCTTATCGCACAGTGTCGTCAGAGTGATGGCTCACACACGCACGTACGTACAGACACCAGTATGCAGACATTTGGCAATAAGTAGCCACAAAATAAACAAATAAAACGTCAAAAAGTTAAAGGCCTGATTTGGGTTTGTATGAAAAATGTCAATAGTAGTCCAGACAACAAAAGTAATGCTTGCACATAAACCTGTTAAATCAAAGCTTGATTACCAATTGTTGCTGCCTGGTGTCCAAGTGACAACAAACTAATATAGCTTTAAGGAATAATTGTAGAAGATATTTAAGGGATTTAGAATGTAACTCCATTATATATGAGTGTCAAAGATAATGGATAAAGTGAAGGATGACTAATCCATAGTGTTAATTTTCGCGTATAGGAAAGTAGTGAATGTTTATTGAGTGCAAGAGATTTCACAATAGCTGAACTCATTGAAGTCAACAGAAGGCATTTTCTGTACAAGGACAACATTATATGTTTAAATGTATCTCAGGTATGTACACTTAGTCTTTTTCTTAAATAAATCTAAATGTATTTTTCTTTTGTTTGGACTTCCACCAACATGGTGATTTATGTGTATCTTGTGAAACAAAGCCTGGTTTGGAACTATTTCAAGTTTGAATTTGGCGCATTCCTGCTAAGGCCAGTGGGTGTGAAAAAAATAAATAAAATATCTATCTTTCTCTTAGTTATATTTGCAAATGTTCTCTTGTTATATTATAAGTGCATCAAAGCCTGGAATGCAGCCATCTCTTTAGCACTCCTGTCACAGACACTGCGACAAACCAACATTTAACACAAAAAAAACATAAAAAGGGAAAAAAGGAATGTGTGTTGCCTGTGTTCTAAAAAAGGGGTCATCCAGGGAGAGAGTGGAAAAATACCTGAGAAGAGCCAGCGCCACTCTTTTAAAGCCATTAGACAGATGTTTTCTATGTCTGCAAGCTAGCTACCCGGTTGTTTCTTAAACCAATAGTATGTGGATTATATGCAGGCATTAGTGGAACTGTGTGCAGTGTATATAGAAAATGTGTGCAGATATGTAACATTATAAGCTCGACCAAGTAAATATTTGATGTGAATTATTTAATTGTTTTTTTCTCTAGACAGTATTGGTGCTAATGCTATTGAGTCTACCCCTTTAAATATGTACATGCTGTGTGCCTGTATGGACTAATGCAGAACAGCCTCTCTCCTTTCACCTCAACATGCACTGATTGTTCGCCCCTCGACTCCCTCCCAGACATTCCAATAGAGAGGTCTGACTGATTCTTGACAAAGCAGCGATATAGCAGGGGGAGACGAGAGCAAGCTCAACATGAAAAACAAAGAAAAGGGGACAGTTATTTCCATCCACCATTTGCAATCATGTGTCAGTAATGTGGTGCTGCTTTCAGTCTGCGTGCAATTAGGAGGGCAGGCTCCTATTATCCTTTGTGAATGAAAAGGGTTTAAAAAAACGACGGGTTCCTTTCCCTTTCTGCTTGTCATGCACCCAACACTGAGCAATGTTCTTTCTTTTGGTATACGAGTCTATGCATGAAGATACAGCCTTGCTCTCTTCATAGGAGAAATAATAATAACAACATATTCCTAATGATGAGCACGCACGCATTGTTTCTGCTCGAAAAGTGAGAGACAACAGCAACAACACATTGAAACCTCGAAGCCAGCTTGCCAGTTGAAACAAAGATACGCATAGATCTTCGAGATTGAAACGAGCTGCCATCATAGAAAATGGGCAGGTAGCCAATAATTAAATGCTTTAAATTAAATGAGGGGCAGGGTGAGCGCAAGAGAGAGAGAGTTGTAGGGAGAGATGGAGGAAAGTATTGGGGGAAGGGTTGGCACTTGCAGTGGCAAGGGAAAAGAAAGGGAGACAGTGGGAGAACATACATGAACAGGCTATAAGAGATGGTGAGACCAAAACTGGAATCCTTCAGTTCACTGTGAGCCCAAGACTACACTTCGATTTATCACTGCAAAACGTGGGATGACATAACACCAGAACCAGAGGGGACATTTAGTAGTCCTTTGTCCCCAAATAGACCCTCTCCATCTCTCTTTGAGGGGTGCTTTACGCCCACTCGGATCAAAGACAGCATGTACTTGTTTCTCCGGAAGCAGGGAGGAAAAGAAAGAGTAAGGAAATGGTCACAGGAGGCTTTAAAAAGCTCATTATTCATGTCTGTTTACCTCTGCTTAGAGAAGAGAAAAAAAAGGGAGAGTGAGATCATTGTGACTTCTCTGGTTTCCCTGACAGAGGCTGGATTAATTAAGCCACTAGGGGGTTCTCTCACTGTGTGTGTGTGTGTGTGTGTGTGTGTGTGTGTGTGTGTGTGTGTGTGTGTGTGTGTGTGTGTGTGTGTGTGTGTGTGTGTCACAGCCATCCACATGGGGCAATCTATACCTCTCCGGCTTCATTATGGCAAAGTGCTCTTGTGATTATGATTTTAAAACATACAAGATTTAAGTGGAGGTTATTTTACATCTCAAGTGTACCAAGGTTGATGAGGCAGATATGCCTTTCCTTAAGAAAGTACTTGAAGAAAATAACATGTTCTAAAAAATATATTAGATTTTTTCGAATTACAACCTATATTTTAGCTAACGATTTCAAAATACCCATTTTAACTTAAAGCGATACTCTGTTCCATCTCCACATTTAACTCAAATTAGATATGCTCCAATGCCCGACTGCTTTACCTGCAAAACAAAGAGAGCCCAAGTGAAAGGGCTAAGTGTTTTAGCAGCACCCGGCAGAGTGCCTTCTGGCTATAAGCTGTGTCTGGGTGACGAGCAAACAGCTGTTGGGCTGCAGTTCCCACAGTCTTAAGAGACCCCCACTCAAGCACCTGCTACTGGGGAGTCTGTCTGGACGGCTGCTGGCTGACGGCTACTTAATGGTCCCCAGTCAGCTGGAGAGACTGGGATGGTGGGGGTGATGCAGGGAGGGGAGAGGGGACAGGGGGGTCTCTGTCTGCTGTTGGGGACACTCAAAAGGGGTTTGGAAAGCGGAGGTTAGGTGGGAGTGGTGTGACTGCCCTTGAATTTAGAGGGGGTTGCCTTTCAGACTTTGGGGATGGGGCGGTGTGTGTGCTGTTCCTGCTGGAATCTTATAAATCACACACAATTACATTTAATAGGGCTTCTAAATTAAATCAGTAGGATTTTTCTGAACCAAATAGAGGAAAGCAACGAAACAAATGGGTCAAAATAAATTCATTTAAGCACCTAAGGATATACTGTATACTGAATAATACTGCAGTATGAACTAACATGCGTGTGTGTGTACACTTTAAACCCTGAGCCAGCTGGCCTGCAAGGCAGACACAGATCTGAGAGGACACAACTAGGTCAGACCAGTGTGTTCTTCCTGATGTGTATCCACTACATCTATCCACATGTGTTTGTGATTGCATGCGCACAAGAGAAAAAGTTCCTGCTTGAACATTATCACGTCCCTTTGGGCCACAGTCACCTCCCCAGAGAGGTCAGAACAATGTCCTCAAAACAGAGTTCATCCCTCACTTACAGTTACACTAAGGAAGTAAAAGTATGTGTATTTGCAGGCAGGCTGCATTAAATAATACAGGAACAGGATACTGGGATTTTGACAAAAGTAGACATTTAGATTCATAATATGGCAGAAATTATTCTCTTGCGTAGGATAATGCTGTACATAATTCTTGACTTGAAGATCAGCTTAATTCCATGAACTTTGTTTAAATGGATGAATAAGTTCAAAGCACAAATTGCAAATGTGTAGTCTTCCAAACATAGAAATCATGCAAAAATAAGTTGTTCTTTTTAGGCTATTTTTCAAGCTCTATTACAAAGTAGTAGTTTGTGTAAATGAAGCAAAAAGCCTTCACCTTCTAGCACAGGGTAGAAAGTTAAACTACAATGTCCACTCTTTAAATTATGCATGCCAGAATGTTTGCAACAACAGGGCCACTAGCCTGCGGCTATTACTGGTGCAGACAGGATAGAACAGGCTGGGCAGGCAGTGTTGTAGTGAGAGGCCCCTGGGAAAACCAGGGCGAGGTAAAGGATAAACAGGATAACCAGCGCTGACGATTATAAGGACAGTGGAGGTTAATAAACTGAACAAGGCAAGCTTTCTGAAGCCATTACTTTATTTAAATGTGAAGGCTTATAGGTATTGCTTCTCTTGAAACGAGAATCCTGGACCACATTCTGGGAAACCCTGTGTGTGGTCCTACTTATTACTAAAATGTTGTTTGTGAAAGGCTCAAAGAAAGCTGTATAATTCAGACTTGTTCATCTTTCATCATATGGACTACTAAATACACAAGACACAACACGGAACTCTTTACATATTCAGGCATCCATGTTTGTTTGAAGCTGGGATTAGTGGCATAGGCCCAAGTACAATCACATCAGCGACTAGACGGAGACTAGGACCGGTTTCCTCTGTGATGGCTGCTGACTAGCAAGCCTTGCACCACAGCTGCTGCAGATTTATTTACCGAGTACCTGGTGTTGTTCCAGCAAATGTTGAGACAGTAATGAAAGGCAGAACAGAGTAGCACTGATGAAAAGAGAGAAAGATAAAAAGGACTCTGGAGAGAAGAGAAGCTCAACAAAGATGAGAGCAGATTCTCATGCAAGCTCCTGCTAACCTGAACATGAAAACACTGCGTGGCATCCTACAGAAATATCTTTGCATCTATTCCTTCAGAGAGACAGAGTGTTGTGTTAGAGGATGTGAGGAGCATCTTTGTGTCTGTTGACATTACTAAGCAGATGGTTGTGATTGGTTTACAAAGGAAAACCTTGCACATGCAAATAGCAGAAATAATGATTACAAAAATCAAAACATCTCGCATGTGAAAGCGAAAAGAAACACGGAAGTCAATAAACTGAGAGAAAAATAAATGCGATAATGATATAAATAAATCATGGCCATCTTTTATCACCACATTACTTGCATACAAACACACCCAAGCAGCCACACAATGAGCACCTTAAGGCAGGTTCACTATTAGTGATCTTAGGGGCCACCGGTGAGTTCATTAAAAGATTACCGCTGGCTACAGAGGTCTGAGAGAGTGTGTGCGTATTAATGTGTGTGTGGGCCTGAGAGTCTAGCAAAATAAGGCTTCAAAAACCTAACAATTTTCTTCTCAATTAGACTTAAACATCTAAACAAGATTTTTCCAAGGCTTTTAAATCATTTAACGTTATTATTCCTGGTGTTAAAAGCACCGGGATCCAGACCAGCCCACTCTAATAGCACAGACCCTTGGAAACACGCATTTAGCTATCTGAATCCTTTTAGAATGCCAAGGAAGGGAAAAATAGAAAAGCAGAGGTAGCAGCCATTTGTAAATTAGTGTAGACTTGAGTCTTACATTTTAAGTTGGCTTCAAATTGGTCAGCTTCCTACATAATTTAGGAGCTGCTGTAGCTCATCATTATTTAAACTGACAGGAAGTGAAAGTGCCTTTAAACTACAATTATAATCACCATCATTTATTATGCCCATAATGCAGTTAATGTCTCAATGCTGCCTTGCATACCACTGTCTCTGTGCCAAGCCAATTTCACAACATTTGGGGAAGTCAAAGTGAGAGGCAAAATGATCGATTTGTATGAAGTTAAAAAGGGTGAACATTTTGCACACAGCCACCACAAAAGCTTTAAATAAAAAAATAAAAAAAGGATGACAAATTGAAATCAGGATATGTTCCAGGGTATTTTGTTTTCACTGTATTGACACCAACCTGGGTGGCGTTTGCTCGCAGCGGACGTGGCAGAGTTTGGGGAAGTGCTGTCGGTAGTCGTAGAAGAAGAGGAATAAGATGATGAGGGCGAAGAGGAGGAGGAGGAAGAGGAGAGGGTGAGAGCGCTGAGGGCTCCTGCAGGCAGTGGCTGGCCTCTCTTCAGTAGCTGCTTGTGCTCCTGCTGGCGGAAGCGGGGTGGCACCTCTCTGGGCGGGTAGCGAGCACTGGCAGAGGACAACTGGCACTGCTGCTGAGGGGGGGTCTGAGTCTGGAGCTGGCTACTGGAGGAGGCGCGCTTGCCATTGCCAGAAGAAGAAGAAGAGGAGGAGAGGGGCAGCGTAGGGCTGGCAGGGTGGAAGTGGTGGGGGGGGCCGGGACTGGGCTTAGTGGGAGCAGGGTCTGGCACTGGATGGATACAATACACAGACAGAAAGACACACGCAGGTAGCAAGGTATTAATGTCTGGGTCAACTCTTTTAGTCCTTTGTATAACAGATATTACATTTGGCTGATATCTGACAACTTGTTCCAAAAGAATAGTAACTCAAACTTTTTTGTAAGAGGTAAATCCTGTATTTGAAATGCCTCTAAAGAGTGACGTTTTCCTATGTTGCTGACGTTAAGTCAAGCCTTTTGTTTTTTCATCTTTTTAATGTAACAGTAATACTATATCAGCCGCACAAGTTGTGATGGCAAAGAAAATTAATCTCAAGTTAAATTCTAGCAGTATGTGATGGAGTGGTCATATTCATGAGGAGGATGTTTACAGATTGCACAGCAGTCAGGTTTTACTTTCAGTTCATGCAGTCTCCAGAAATGACATTGAGTATTGTATTTGTTGTGTAGCATTCTGCAGGTGTTTTTCATTTGTATGCATTTGTATGGTGCTGTGGACTGTCCCTTTAAGTTAACCGCCTCATGCAGCTTTTTATCGAACATATGTTACTGGCCCAGACGCACTCTATGAAAAGGTCATTCTTTTCTGCTGACTGAACACAGACACACATAAACACATAGAGACACCTCCTTTCCTCCTCATTACACAGTCTTCTCTTGCAACCCCACACACACACACACATACACAAGGACACTCACACACACCTTTCCCTGCTGGTTTGGCCTCAGCCTGGGCCTTTCCCTGTGGTTGAAGTGACCAGCCAGCTATCTAATTGAGTGTTAGCCTGAAAGGTGTTATTATTAGTAGGATCTGGACAGCTAGCACCAACCAGATTGGCTGGTCTAACATTTCCTCCCCACGTTGCTGAGAGAAGGAAAACACACACCGTCTGATCTATACACTGAATACCTCTTTATTAAGCTGGAGAGTCTGTTGCTGCATGCACCTAGGAGGAAACCGAACTAGCTCTGATTATGCACCACTCTACCTGAGAGGTTCCTGCTGCGCACAAACAGCTGCTTTCATAATGTCTGCCAACTGCTAGTGACCTAAAAGCTGCCGTAAATTACAGTTTCTTGGTCCATGGCTGAATGCATGATGAATAGAGCTGATGATGTTGTGTTTTCTCAAGTCCCTAGATAGATATGCCTGTTCTACACAACAGCTGAGACTGCCTTCACTCAGGGGAGCAGAGAGAGACGAGGGGACACAGGTTGTGTGAGTGTGTGTAGAGGGAAGGGGGATGTTTTTTTTTTTTTTCAAACAATGAAATAGTGGCAAATTGATGGCATGGAAATAATGTTTTCATTAAAGCTTCACTCTGTCCAGCATGATAACTATTCCTATAGCAGGCCTGCACTGCAGTGCTGGCAATGACCCACAAAGTAACATACAGGCCAAATCTGCCACACTGGAGGTTAAATTGAATTCAGAGGGCAGAGGTATTCAATGTGTCTGCCAAAATCTTGTGGAAAAGCGGAAAAAAGGGCTCTCAGTGAGCACAACAATAATCCAAAAATATAACTATTTATATGGATAACCTCACATGTTTTTCTTCTAGTCATAACTAAAGATAAGCAAATCTCCACGTGTATAAAGTAAACGTGTGGGCCTCTATGTGTTTCCTCAAAAGTTCAAGACACAATTGTTTTTACCCCCTTTGACCGATGAAGTTTTAGTGAAACACACATGCAGATAGGGGGAGGGAGAACGAGAGAGAGAGTGTGCCCCCTCCAGCAGTATCTGCCTGGCTTTGAACTGCAGCTGGTGACGCACATCTCTGATTAAATTCATGTCGGCCCGCCTGACGCTGCCTCGTCCAATCAGACAGCAGGACAGTGAATGCACGCTGCCCTGCCCCCTTCCTCCTCTGTCTTTCCATCAGCAGCTTGCACCGTATCCTCACTGCGTCTCCCTTTCTCTTTTCTGTGCCTACCTGTCTCTGAGCCTGGCGTTCTCTTCCCACTTTGTTCTTCTCCCTCTGGGCCATCTTGATCCTTTTTCTCCTCCTTCTCTCTTCTCTCCCTTGTCTTGTTTCTGTCTTCTTACCTTGCCATTTCCCTGATTCCAGACATCAATCTAATGACTCCAAATGTCTACCTCAGCCCAGAATCTCTCTCCCAGCTTTCTTTTTCTTTCATCTCTTCCAACTCCAAAGAATGTGTCTACTTGGAACACATTGTGTCCTCTCTACTGTGATGTGCTACTATAGAAGGTTTTGAGAAAATGTTTGAATAAACCTAATTATCCCTGATTAAGTCAGATTTGTAATGGCTCATGAACAACCATGATGCAGTTTGCACCAGGTGTTGCTCACTGCTGAAATAGAAGCCGAGATAAAATGGGTTCAGAATGCATGCATATTAGGTGCACATAATGGTTGTTATAATGCGGTTTAGACCCAGAGTAAGGACTTTCATTTAAAATGTAAATGATGGTTAAAGGTGGGGTATGGCATTTATTTCAGAAACACTTGTTATATTCCATGGAATGCTCTTAACATCCCGATAGCAATGAATATATTAAATGCTTTGACAATAAATCCATAAAACAATTTCATCTGTGGAAGCCGTAGTCCTGTAAAAAGAACGACCAATCATTTCAGCCGGCCTGGCTAAAATAACTGGATGGCCTACCTGCCTGTCAGCCTTCCATCTGTGCACAAACTTATCTCGTGCCCTCATTGTTCGTGTGTGTTGGAGGAGGGGCTCTGTAAGGAAGTGGCAGATTTTTTCCGGTTGTGTATTTTCAAATTCTAGCGCACTCGAGCTGGTTTCTCCAAAATTACATACCCCACCTTTAATGTTCCCAAGTACTGACTCGTTGACAAGCAAAAAACACAATTAAAAATAACTGTATTTACCAATAGCTTTGGTGTACGAAAATGTCTTTTTTAGCAGTACTTCAAAGATGGGCGTTTTGGTTCTCCGCCTCTTTTGATCTACTTCCCGACAAACATCAAAGTAACATAACAGTCTGCAAACAAAAGGAATTCCTTCTTTACCACATCTTTGCAATTCATACACATGGGTTTCCAGAGCTCCTGAGATTTAGTCTTGGTTCCCTGAACAATTTAGTAAAAAAGAAACATAAGGAAGTTACTCAGTCAGCTCACTGTTCATTTCTGCTGCCAGCATGGAACAGGAAGCAGATGAACACAAACACACAAACAAGTCCATTAGCTTTGGTGTGCCTCATACACCCATTGCTTCACACAGCCTGTGTTTGTGTTGTTGTAGTAACAAGGATGTATCCATGCTCCCTGATGTCACTGATGACCACATCTAATATCTGCTGCACAAGCAATGACACAAGTATCCAAAAAGAAAGCACGACCCATTTAGAGCACATGGTCACAAACCTATTCAGTAACATTATTCTATGCTCGCAGAAAGAAATGATAAAGTGCTGCCATGACAACATCCAGTTGGGTTATGTGTAACCATCTAAAGTGTAATCTGTATTAAACAAGTGATAATTAGCCTTCTTTTGAGAGGGAATGCGTGTCTGGTTGCAGACATACATACACAAGTGAGAAGAAAAGAAAGTCGGTCTGAATGTTTAAGATGTGAGAAGAAAGAGACAGCTTTCCTCTGTCCAAAAAAAAAAAGGAAAAAAATGTACGGCAGACTGAAACATGTCTTTTATTTTGAGGAGGAGAGATCTTTTCTTAATCCATAATGGATGAGTAAATGCTTTTGAAGGTTAGAAAAAAAAGACTATTAAGGGGAAAAAAAGAGAAAAGTGGGGGAATCCCTTGTGTAAGGAAAGTGAAGAGCATGCTGGTTACACCTAATGCTAGTGAAAGGCAATTGAATGGACACATTTAATTAGTTATAGCTTCTATAACTGTATGACTTACAGCTTGATTGGCAGAGGTAAATACAGGGATATTAAAGTTACAGCAGAGCAAGTCAGTGTTGTGTTTTCAAAGCCACATTAAGACTCTCATGTGGTGGTGGCCTTAGCACCTCTAATTGAAGTTGAAAAGGAGAGCCGATTAAATTAGCATTTGTATCAAGTGCACTGTAAATTCCATTAAACCCTCCAGCTGAGGCGCTCTCTGCAACCTTGCACCAAACTTTTAATTACAGCCCTTCTTCACACTAAATGGTTAATTACACACAATGAGAGAGAGCGAGACAAAGAGCAACTGCATAAAAATAGAGAACAAGCGAGCATAGATGAAGAAAATGAAATCATACAAGGCAGAGGGAAATGCACAAATGAATCAGATATAGAGCTAAACAAAACAAACAAGGCTTATTGGGCAAGAAGGAATGATATCTGCTTTTGTAAACAACAACTGTGGTTGGTTGGTTCCCTGCGCCGGGTGCCAGGCAGCGCAGGTTCCCACATCTCTTCTGTCTATTGTCTGCAGAGCCACTTTATTATGCAGCCATGTTTATAGAAGGGGGAGGGAAGGACGCAACACACAGGCCTATATGCCCTACACAATGGTGCATTTCTTAATCCAATAAGAGCTAAGAAGTAGGAGGAGGAATGGAAATACAGCATGTTTGTCTGTGTATTGTATACCTGCTGCTGTAGTGGTTTTAAAAGAAGTGCTCAGTTATGTGTATCAATGTTTTATTTTAGCTTATGAAAAAAACAAGGCCCACTTTTGTGAAATAAATCAAATAGTACACGGGGCAGAGGCACGAATAATAGTTTCTCCAAGCCCATTAAATGCGTGTACTGTGAAAACGACGTTTAAGTAAGTTAAAGAAATATTCAGTTTGGAGTTCATGACCTTTTCTGCATGTCTCACTTCCTTCTGCAAATTCTCTGTTGAAGCAGATTTAGGCTCCCACTCATTTTCATTTCCCCTTCTATGGAAGTATAGTAACTTCATCATTTTGTAACGCAATCCACAAGATCTGCGACTCCTTTTTGGGGGCACTTGGTTGTTTTTTTTACAAGGTAACCAAAAGGATTTTCAGTCACATAAGGCAGACGTATGCACACAAAGGGGGGGTGTTTCTCTATGAGGTTCCATCTGTCAGTATTAGTGGGGAAAAACAGACACATCCTCAGTCGCATACAACTGGCTGTTGCCATAGAGACTGACAGTTGCCTAACGCACCTCCATTTGCCTTGTGACCCCATGTGCCTCCGGTGACCTCTGACCAAACCACGCCTCTTCCACCCTCTCTCTATAATTATGGTCACCACCACCACTTCTTAATGCCAAACTTGTTTCCCTCCCTCAGGTCTCAGTTGGTCATGTCAGCTCTGCCTCTCTGCCCTGTTGAGATTATGACAGAATGGACCAATGAAACCCCTTTTTGCTTTTGAGTCATAATGGAAGCTAAATCACTCTCCGAGTAAAGAGCTTTAAGGGTATTATACTACACCTCCACCCAAGGTCAGTGCCAAAGGGCAACAACTGCCTGAGGATGGACGTCATTTGAATTTGATAGATATGTAGAATGATGTATGGTATCTCAAACATTGGGAACGCTGACATATGAATCAAAGATGTGATCTCTTCGGAGGTCATTGGGGAGTATGGGGATTAACAATAGAACATTGGAGTACTTCTCATTTGCAGTCCCAATGTGAATTTCATAGTCGTATGGAATATGACTTGTATTGCATGACATTATCCCCCTTGACTATATATGATTAACAGGAATAATATTATCAAGTCAAATTAAACTGGTATTCTTCTTCTGCTGATTCACAATGGCCTGAGGGAACGAGGGGACCCTATGCAGTCTTACCAGCACTCTTTGAACTTTACATATACATAATATAGGTGAACACCTCGGCCTCAAAGCAAAGGCTGAACTGTCATTCAAAACTACAAGTTGAGCTAAATCCTATTAATGTGCCTGGTGTTTGGCACGAAGCAGCTCACCATTGGGGAACAGGGGGTGAGGCACCAAATGGGCTCTCTTGTCAGAAGATTGTGAGCGATCACACAACATGAATACGCAGAGGAAGCATTGTTCTAGACTTTGCTCCCATAATTATTTCTTTCTCTGTGCCCGTTTCTCTCCTTCCATACCTCACTCTCCTCTGGCACTTGACATGCAGGCGGGGTGAGCACACGGGGGGTAGAGGAAAAACAATCATGCTTGGCAGTCATAAATCCACAGGATGTAATTCACCAGCTATTCACTATTAATTCATTGAGTGTTTATAAATGTGGTTAACAAAAGAGAAAAGCAGTCTGAATGCTAAAGTAAATTAGCCTCCAATTAGATTGCGATTCATGAAATTCCCTTTCAAAAGAGTTGACACAATTAATAGCATGTGAAATTGCTAAATAATCCAATACAGAATTATACGACACACTTGTGTTTATGTGCCTCTCGCGCGTCTTTGAAAAACATAATGCCGTTATCACTGTGGTGACACCGTGTAAATATGTTTCTCCTCGGATGTGGTCGCCGGAACCGAGCATAACGTCGGTGAAATTGAAACAGGCGGAAGAAACAGTGTGAGCAAGACGGCAAGTTATGGACGTGACAGTGACAGGCATTACATTTGTTCTATAACCTTTCAGCGTTGAAAAGTGCATTCGCAGCAAAAATGGAGATAGCAGATTTCTTGATTATCGGGGTGTGGGATTGAACAGATGCAGTGTGGTAATACTGTGGCTTTCTGTGCCTGCGTGTAGTCTCCACGAATTGCATTTGTGTAACTCCCTCTCAACTTAATATTTACGTGTGTGTGTGCCTGCTAAAAACAAAATGTGGGTAGTGAAAGACGCCCTTGCTGCTTTTCAATTCTACAATGTAGGCATTTGCTTCAGTCACAGATTAGATTCAAAGTTGCTGAAGAGAGAAATGTGTCTTTTAATATGATTGTGGGACTATAAAAACACACATATGCAGCTTGACAGATACTCTGCATGCAGTCCTCTGTGTGTGTGTGTGTGTGTGTGTGTGTGTGTGTGTGTGTGTGTGTCTCTCTTAGCACGTGCAAGTGTCTGTATAGTATGTGTAGCATTAAAACTGACTGATTGTGATTGCAGTGATG